TTCATTTTTAGATTGCATTCTAACCTGGGCAATAAAGCTAGACTCCTGTTCTCTCTCCCTCTTTCTCTTCCTCTTTCTTTCTCTCTTTCATTTGTTTTTTTTCTTTCTCTCTTTCTTTCTTTTTCTGTCTAAAAAAAAAAAAGAAAAAGAAAATGGACTTTGCCCCAGCCTAAAACATGGAGGAAAAAAGTGAAAAGTGTTCTTGGAGAGTATGTGTGAGACAGAACCCGAAATACACAGCCAGAGAGCGAGGAGGTAGAGCCGGGGGGCTGGAAGGCTCTGCTCACTCATCCTGAGCCCAGACCTCTGGGCAGGAAGCCTTGTTCTTCTAAAAGCAAACTGCTTGTTTTTCACTGTATGAATAATGTATGTTCTTTAAAAAAACACAAAGAGAAAATACAGATAGGCAAAAAGAAGATATAAATCATCCACAACTCATCACCCAGATGCATATTTATGCTTCCAGATATTTTTTTCTGAATCTGCACATGTAAATGTAAAAAATGGCATCATTTATATTATTTGTAAACTGCGCTTTTCACTCCGCAGTCCATCATGGCCATCTTTCCGTGTCACTAAATGTGCTTCTGCGGTATCTTTGTAAATGATACACAACCAGATAACAACGACAATAATTTGTATAGTGCTTTAGAGCTTACAAAGCACTGGGCATCATTATCTGTTTTTTTGTTGTTGTTGTTTTGAGATGGAGTCTCACTCTGTGACCCAGGCTGGAGTGCAGTGACATGATCTCAGCTCACTGCAACCTCCACCTCCTGGGTTCAAGCAATTCTCTGCCTCAGCCTCTCGAGTAGCTGGGATTACAGGTGGCTGCCGCCATGCCCAGCTAATTTTTGTATTTCTAGTAGAGGTGGGGTTTCACCATCTTGGCCAGGCTGGTCTTGACCTCCTGACCTTGTGATCCACCTGCCTCGGCCTCCCAAAGTGCTGAGATTACACGTGTGAGCCACTGTGCCCGGCCTGGGCATTCATTATCTTATTTCAGCTCTTGGCCTTCCAGCATGAAGGTCTTTCCCCTAGGAAATTCTGCTTCCAAAAGAGGCACCCCTGCCTCCTTCACACCTGTGCCTCCTGCTCCCTGGAACTCGCCACCCTCTAGGGAGGGATGCTGGCCAGGCCCCTTCTCCCTCTCCACTTCTTATCTGACCCCGCTGTCAACTTCTGTCCTTTTTGTCTCATTTCCTTGAGACTCCTTCTTCACAGTCTCAGAATTTCCTCTCGGCTGCTACCGTTGTCTTCTCTGCTTCATCTGTCCTCCCCTGTCTCTTCCTGCATGTCTGCCTGCCCCCCTCCTCCTGTCCAGTTCTGCTGAAGATATAGCGTGACACACTTGGGGGCTGGGAGCCAGAGCGGGCCCTCAGGATGGGACCTGTCTCATCTCCGGAAATGACTGAGCAGAAAGTCCCTCTGTTGTTCACAAGTGGGGAGGGTTAGGGGCGAGACCCACAGACATCAAAGGGGCAGGGCTGGGTAAAAAGTCCCGGGGTGTCCTCAGAGCATCCACAGATGTGTGCAGGGAGGTTTCTGAGTTCCTGTCTCCCTACCGCTGTCTCTCTCTTCCAGACCCTACTCTGCTTCTTTCTCTCCTCATGACCTACCTGGCATCCCATCCTTTCTTGTCCTACCTCCGCCATATAGAGGTCTTGGTTCCTGACAGCTGCCTCCCTCTGTGCGGAAGGAGAGGGTGGGGAGAGAGGCAAGAAGGCATGCCCTCTGTCCCTGACTAGCCTCACTTTTTGGTCCTGGACCTTCAGTCCTGCGTTCACTCTGTGAGCCCCTCCCTATGCTCCTCTCTCCTCCCTCCTCTTTCGTGGTGGGAGTGATGAAGTTGGGGAGAGGCTGGACCTCTGCCTGCAACTCTGGGCCTGCTAAGTCAGGGAGGTCAAACCGTTCAGAGGCGCTGTTTTCCCAGGGCTGGATGAGAAGCATATTTCACAGAGCTGAATGAGGAGCAAATCAAAGCTGGGGCTGGACAAGCCAGGCAATTAGGCAAGATCCTGGGCAGGCGGCTGGATCTCCTGGCTTTGGAGAAGGGCAAATATTTCAGAGTTAGGGAAATCCAGATATCCATGCCCAGTGGTCACTCCACGCCTCACCACATCCACTCTGAACACTTGCCCCATGGCCCATCAGGCCACCTTTCAACAGCAAGGACATCAGAACTCTGAGTCATGTGGCTCCTTTAAAAAGCCTTGCTTCAGCCAGGCATCAGCTGCAGCTGAAGATTTGATTTTTGGTGCCTAACTCACCAGGTATCCTTCCCATCTGACTGCATCCGGGACTCTCCAAGCACCCTCCACTCCACCTGTGTAGGAGGGACCCACCTGTGTACGAGGGACCCACCTGTGTACGAGGGGCCCACCTGTGTACCAGGGGCCCACCTGTGTACCAGGGACCCACCTGTGTACGAGGGGCCCACCTGTGTACCAGGGGCCCACCTGTGTACGAGGGACCCACCTGTGTACGAGGGACCCACCTGTGTACCAGGGGCCCACCTGTGTACGAGGGACACACCTGTGTACGAGGGACCCGCCTGTGTACCAGGGATCCACCAGGTACCTTGTGCACTATGTGTCAGGGCTCCCCAAGCATCCTCCACTCCAGCTGTCATCCAGGGTCCATGGGCTCACCAAGTATCTTCTGCTCTAAATCCAACTCCAGCTCCGCCCACCTGGATTCCTTATTTGGTACACATCCAAGAGGATGCCACATTTCCCACCCTCTCCAGCAGTAGATGGCTCCACCCTAGTGATCGCTCACTAGTGATCCCCTTGGCTCATTAACCCAGAGGGGCTCAATTTCATGGTGGATGGCCAGGAGATGACCCAGGTGTTCAGGCTGTCTGCCTCCTGTGCAAAGAAAGGGGGTGGGCAGGGGTGTCAGCACTTTGTCAGTCGGCTTCACAGGGCTGGGAGGAGATCCACTCCAGTCCTATCCCTGGAAAGGCAGTGTTGGCGTCAGGAGCTGTGCATGGGCGCTTCGGGCTAGAAGTAGGAAGAGCTTTGCTGTGGGTTAGCGGGCACCTACTAACATCCCCCTTGTCCTTAGCTCTCAACAGAAAGTGGGAGAAGATGCCAACAGCTCATGGACCAGGGAGGGAGCTTCCACAATGTGTCCACGCCGGGCCAAGGGCAAGGTCCAAAGTGTCTACTCCAGGGCTGCCCCTAGGCTGGGCATCTAAGACCTGGTACTCTGCCAACCAAGCTCCCTGGGACTTGGAGGGAGCTTGGTGTTATGGGGTGGGATAAAAAGACATTGGCAAGAGCAGGCGTTGGAAGCTGAGCTTTCATGTCCTTGTACCCTATTCTTCTTCCTACATGGTGACAGCCAGGAACCACCCCCTGCTCCATAGCCAGAGCCTAGAGGAAGAGGAACCTCATCCTGCTGCCACTGACGCCTGGCACAGCTCACCTGAGGTTGGACCATGTCTACCTCCTCCCCCAGGCCTCTCTCCCTAGAGAACTCCAACCTGTTCTCCCAGTCCCCACAAAGAGCATCAGTTGTTCCTGAGCTTGGAAAGGGTAGGGTATGAGACCCATAGTCCCCAGCACCCATTCTCAGATGGGGGAATCTGCTGCAAGGCCACAGGGACAGTTCTGAGGGGATAGGTGGCAAACATCCCCTTCCTTTTTTTTTTGGGATGGAGTTTCGCTCTTGTTACCCAGGCTGGACTGCAATGGCGCGACCTCGGCTCACTGCAACCTCTGCCTCCTGGGTTCAGGCAATTCTCCTGCCTCAGCCTGCTGAGTAGCTGGGATTACAGGCATGCGCCACCATGCCCAGCTAATTTTTTGTATTTTTAGTAGAGACAGGGTTTCACCGTATTGACCGGGATGGTCTCGATCTCTTGACCTCGTGATCCACCCGCCTCGGCCTCCCAAAGTGCTGGGATCACAGGCTTGAGCCACCGCGTCCGACCAACATCCCCTTCCTTTATGCTCCCCTGTCTTCTCCTAGCCAGCTACAGGCTATTTTTTCTGGAGTTCTGTCTGGATCTGGGGGACAGGAGGGGTGTTTTTGGATTTTAGTTGCGGCATTTACTGCTCTGCCTCTGTGGTAGGTGTCCATCCTTCCTTCTCTGGGTCAACCTGCTGTCTGTCTGCAACTATCTCAGAGAGGACACATGTCTTCCCTACACAAAGCCTCCCTGTAGCGTTGGGAAGTCCCTCCTGAAGTCTGGCCTCCATTGATCTTGCTACCTAGTTAAATCCGCTTCTTTTCTAGGACTTGGCCAGCGATCGAGCTTGTTTCCTAGGACCCCTACGTCCTCCTTCCCCCAGTAGTACTTCTGGGCCAGCCACCACCTGCCCATCTTTGCAGGTGCAGCCCTGACGGCGTATTTCTGAAGCCCTCTTTTCTTCAACTTCCAATCCCTTCATTAAGCTCTTCTACATCCAGACGACCAGCGACCAGCGACCAGCGCTGTGAGGGTTGGGGGGCGTGGTGGGGAGAGGGGTGGACCCCACTGCTGCCCTGTGGGCATATGCAAATGCAGGCATGCCTGTGTGCTCTGCGTGAGCGTACAGGTCTCAGATCCAGGGCTTGCGTGGAGTCTCTCTACCCTCCTGGAGGCCTCTTAGAAGCCCAGCAACAGAGGAAGGGAAGCCCAACCTCCCCAACTTTTTCCCTTAGCTGCGGTTCTGCTGGTAACCATTAGGGGTCACTGTTGCTTCAGTCACCAATGCGGGGCAGGGGAGGGGTGGGGCTCCACACAGGTGGTCCTTGCTGCCCACCCTGACCGTGTGGGGATAACAGGGTAGTCGTTGTCATAGAGACGGCCTCACGCAGACTCGTGCCCCCTCCACTGTGGTGTGAAGGAGCTGTGGTTTGCAGGACAGCTGCTGGCGGGGGGTGAGCAAGGATGCCCAGAGGGGCTCATCTTGCCACACCCAGAGCGTGTGGCATTGGTATGGCATGGCAGCTATGCCCCAAGCTTCTGGGTGCAGGAAGCTAAAGAGTCCTGAGCCGTGAGCAGCCCCTCCCGCTGCCACCCCCTTCGCCAAGGTTTGAGGTCATTCTTTTGCAACTCTTCCCTTTCCAATGCCCTTACGGCACTGCCATAAAAGCCTGGAACTGACTCTCCTGTGCGACGTCCACATGCCTCAAAGGCGTCTCTACATGCAGGACAAACACTGAGATTCTGGCCCCTCAGGATAACCACAGGGTGCCAGACACACGGACCCTGCTCTGCTGTGTGTCCCCTGGCTTGGGTGGGGGGGCATCTGGCATGAACAGGTGATGTCATCAGGGCCTCTTCCCTGCCCCATGTCTGCTCAAAGTCTGTCCTATGACACTCCAGAAAATACCCACCCAGTAGACCGATATAACAGACATAACAAGGGCTGTAATTAAGATGAGGTGTCGGGGCCTGGCTGGTTCTGCTTGGAGGCTAGACACAAAGGTTCCCTGCTGGGCTCAGCCACTTCTGGTCCTGAGTGGGAGATAATAGCAAGATTGTCCTGCCTCACTGCCATGGCAACCCTGGCCGCTCGGGTCCTCATGGAGGTGCTGTTTGACAGCAGCGTATTTATACTGTGTCTCTGCCTGAGGGTCACCACCTCGAGTCCCAGAGGAGGGAGAGAGGAAGTTCATCCAGTGTTAACACCATGTAGATGGAGAGATAATGGGCTGCCTGGGACCAGGGTACAAACAGGCCTCAGCATTTATTGTGCCTTCTTCAGTCTTCCCAAGAGAGGCAGGCACTGGGGGCGGGGCTGGGCGAGGGTGAGGGGAGGGGGGAAGATGAGGCTCTTAAAGCCTTAAGCATTCAGGTCGAATCATTGAGGGGAGGGACTGGAGAAGGGGTGACTGTCCTCCAAGGGATGCACCAAGCTTGGGGGGCCCTAGGTGGGGCAAGAGGAGAGGAGGAGGTGAGGGCGGGCAGGCTGGGAACCACTCCCCAGGCCCCGGGCTTCTCCCCACACCACCTGGTCGGTGGGGCCGAGGGGAGGAGGTGAAAAGCAGTGGCAAGCAAGGGGGCCATGGGGCCCCCCAACCCTGCCTCCCACAAATGCAGGGAGAGCATCCCAGGCCTGCTTCTGATTGCTCATCTGATCTCAGACATGTTGATGCCCCTACCTGTCCACAGGAGGCTCCAAACTGAGGGGCAGGACCTCTAGGCTGGGCGGGCCCCTCTTCCTAGTCTGAGCAGGGTCCCTTGACTGAGGGCAGGACATCCGTCCCTGGCCCGATCTCCACTCCTCCTGCTGTGACCCTGCTTGCTTTCAAACCCCAGGGACTCAGAGTCTGAGAAACTCCTATGGTGAGACCACTGTGCCGCCCTACAGCCTTCCCTGCTCCTGTTCTCTCCCCAACCCTCGGCCCCCCCCCGCCCTGTCTGCGTGGGGGCGAACATCTAGACATCTCAGCCACAGAGGTCGGGTCCCTTCCTTTCTGCCCATGGGAGGCCAGTCAGCCAGGGAATGGGGTGCCCCTCAGTGCCCTGGACCCCCATTTTGAGGGCTGCAGTCTGAGGAAGCCACTCTTGGAGTGGGTGAGGAGTCAGGCTCTGCATCCACGGGAGGCAGGGAGCCCCGGCCACCCCGGCACTCCGGGCTGTAGTAGAAGGAGAGGTGGCGGAAGGAGGGCAGCAGCTCCTCCTGTATGCTGTCCAGAATGTGCGTGAAAGCTGGGCGCAGGCGCGGGTTTGGCTGCCAGCAGCGGCTCATCAGCTCCTGCCTGGTGGGTGTGGGGAGCAGGGTCAGAGGCATCCTGGAGCCCCTGCCACACTCAGCCTCCTGCACTGAGAGTCAGTTGATGGAAGTGGGGGTCGTGGGGCATTATGCCTGGGAGAGTGAGGGGATTAAATGGGAGTTGTGGGGGTTTGGGACAGGGAGGGGTGGGGCTGATAGCTGAGGATCAGTGGATGTCGAAGCATCAAAGGAGGTGAGCCAGAATCATGGGGGCAGGTGGGGGAGGGTTGTACGTAGAGCAGTGATGATGAGGGGGGAGGGGAGGTGACTCACAGCTGAAGGGGACAGCCTTCCAGCTCCTCCAGGACCCCGCCATCCATGACGAACTTGAGCACCTGCTCGTTGGACAGGCCCTGGTAGGGTTGTTCAGCCAGGGTCACAATCTCCCAGAGTACCACGCCGAAGGACCTGGAGGGCATGCAGGAGCGCCTGAGCCCAGCACCCTTCATGCTGCTCGGTGCACTCCAAGGGAGGGGGGTGTTCCAGGCCCCTCCCCAGATCCCGCCTCCACATCCCTGGAGCCCTTTGCTCCATCTCGGCCCCACCAGACATCCGAGTGGGTGGTGAAGATCCCATCTTTGAGGGACTCGGGGGCCATCCAGCGCACGGGCAGCAGCCCCTTCCCACCCTTGCGGTAATAGTCTGTCTCATACACGTCCCGAGTCATCCCGAAGTCTGGAAAGTGAGGGAGAGGGTGGAAGAGGTGTGGGGCATCAGAGCCACACACTAGCTTCTGCCCCTGGGATACCTCTCCCAATCTTCTCACCCTCCAGAGTCACCAAGAACCCTGGAAAGTAGGGGCTCAACAGACCTCAGAGCTCATCCCATCCAAACTCCTCTGCCCTTGGAGGAGAGACAGATCCAGGGTGGGCATGACTTGCCAAAGGTCTCACAGGCTGTCAGGGCCAGGGCTGTGGGTCTCCTGATGCCTAGTGTAGGGGAGTCTCTCTACTTTCCAGGCTGCCCTGGTACCCTCCGTACCCCCGATCTTGACGGTGAAGTCCTGGGACACCATGCAGTTGCGGGCTGCGAGGTCTCGGTGCACAAACTTGTTGGCGGCAAGGTAGGCCATGCCATCTGCAATCTCACCAGCCATCTGGATCATCTCCCTCAATGCTGGCTGCGGGAGCCCAGGGTTGTTCTAGAGTCAAGGTTAGGGGCTGGTGAGGAAGGAGCCCAGAGGCTGGTCTCTTGTCCAGAACTGGCCCCTGCCCCCCACACCATGCCCAATTCTTCTCTCACTCCCCAGACCCTGGGCTCAGGGTCTTCTTGGTCCCTACCTCTGCCTCAGGCCGCAAAGATCGAAGATGGCTCTTGAGGTCCCCACGGGTCATTAACTCCATGATCACCAGAGTTGGCTGGCCCTGAGACACCACACCCAGGAGACGCACCTGGGACAGACAAAGGGCTAGGAGACCCCCTAGCTCCCCTTGACCCATTTGGCCAAAAGACTGATCTGCTATGACCACAGTTTGACTCAGACACCAAACCTGACCCTAACCCCAACCATGACTATAACCTGACTCCTGACCTAACAATGCCCCTGACCCTAACCCATGACCTTCATCATAGCTGATGATCATCACAATCATGAACTTGGCCCAACTTTGGCCTTGAGCCCAATCAGGACTCTGATAATGATCTGGACGCTCAATATTGATCCCTAACTACGACTGATCTCAGCCCTAGCCATGACTCTACCAGGGCCCTACTATGACCCTGTTTGACTCTAACCCTAACCACGACCTTCACCCCAGTTAGGATCCTAACCTCATCCCAGTCTTGACCTTAATGGTGCCCTAACTTCATCTCTGACCCTTTCTTTCTTACCACATGACCTTTACACTAATTAAGACCCTGACAATGCTCCTGATTCTCCCTTACCACATGGTGACACTTGAAGGCCTTCATGACAGAAGCTTCCTTGAGGAACTCAATGCGTTCCCGTGGGCTGGCCAGCTCATTCACCGTCTTCAGGGCCACGGGCGTGGGCTCCTCTCCAGCCTCAAGTCCTCGTGCCAGCCCCTCATATACCATCCCAAAAGAGCCCTGGCCCAGTTCCCGGATTATGGAGATCTGCTCCCGAGGCACCTCCCACTCATCAGGGATGTACACTGCCAGGACGTGGAGGGGCACAAGGCGAGGATGCTGCTGTCTGCCGCACCTCTCATCTGTCTGCCCCCCAACTTATCTTCTCCTCTTCTGAAGGGCTCTGGTCCCAAGGCTACCTTCTGCAAGAAGGTCTCCTGGAAGTCTGCCTCTCCTCCTCTCCTATCTCCGTTTCCTACACCACCTGTCTACCCACTCCCAGACCTACTATCAGAGGCGCTGAAGTACTCCGGATTCACAGAAGCATACAGGGTTCTGTTTCTGCAACAGGAGGTGAGGGGGTCAGGCTGGAAGGGTTCTCAGGAAGGAATGAGCAACATCAGAAGAAGGAAGAAGGACATTTCAAGGAGGAGGGAAGCTACGGACCACACCCCCAGCCTTGGTCAGGGTGACTCCTGGGGAGCCCTAAGTATCCTCGAAGCTGGCCTTGGCCCTATTCCTGGGATTTGTCAGGGAATAGGGAGCACACAAGAGTAGAGGGGCTTCCGCCCCCTCAGCTAGTCCCTATAGCCCAGCTAATCAAGGTCCAGGCCCATGTTTCTCTTGCAGTCAGCCCTGGAAGCATCTGACATCAGGCATTCTGGAACACATCCCCAGGCCTCCTGCCTCTCCTCCTAATAAGGGAGCAGCTTTATTATTTCTCAGCTTGGGCTGAGAGTGTGGTGACCAACAATCCCAGTGTGGCTGGACTGAGGGGTTTCCCAGGATATGGAACTTTTACTGATAAAACCAGCAAAGTCCCAGGCTAACCAGGATGAGTTGGTCACCCTAGCTGAGGGGTATGTTTCCTCTGTGCCACCCCAGGGGAAGAGTTACTGCCTGTATGGAAGACCCCTCTTTCTGCTGACTTATCTACTTCCCTTTGACTGCACAGACCTTATGATGAGGGCTCCGGGAGAAAAGGGGGTGAGGATGGGTGGGACTTGTCATCACCTCTTCTTGCCATAGAAGAAACCAAGGGCAGCAAGAACGATGAGCAGCGTGAGCCCCACGGGGGTGGCAGTGAGGAGGACATGCAGCCCCCCAGCGTCCTCCTCCTCTGGCAGTCAGAGGGCAGGGTCAAAGACGTAGAAGTTAAAGGAAAGACCATGCTTATCTTTCCATGCTGGGAGGTAAGGATGGGGAGGGATGCGGGGGAGGGGCCGTGCTGGGCTGGGGACCAGGTGGGGCTCTTCGGTGATACAGGTCTGGGACAGAGGCTGTGTATACCTGGGCCAGGGATGTAGAAGGCAACGCTGTCTGTCCAAGAGCCATTGCCAGCCAGTGAGGTTGCCCGAACCCTGGCAGAGTAGTTTCCAGGGGGCAGCAGGGCCAGGTGGACACCCCCAAACTTCGCATATCGAAGACGGGACACACACAGCACTGTGGCCTCCTGAGAGTAATGCAGAACAGCTGGCTGGGAAGGGGATGTAGGCATAAAACGGGGCCGGGATGGGGTCCCATGGGCACCTACCTCGCCCGAGCGGCGGTACTTGATTTCGTACTTGAGGATGAGTCCGTTGGGGTCTGGTGGCTCGAGCCAGCGCAGGAGGACACTGCTTTTGCTGGAGGCCTCCCAGGCCACCTTTCCTGGAATAGCATCAGCCTCTCCTGCGGGGGGGGGCATCCAGCAGCGGGGCCAAAAGTGGTTTCTCTCACCTTATGTTCAAACCCAAGCTCAACTGGGCTGAGCTGGGAGGTGGGGGAAGCTTTGGGATTATGGGATCTGAGAGGGGTGAGCAAAGTGAGGGTCTGGGGTTAGCGGGAGGTCAAACCCCAAACGCTTGCACAGGGTCCTTGGGGTCGGTGATGAGGGTAGAAGGTGTGTGGGGGTCACCTACTGTGGGGCATGGTGCGCGCGAAGACGAAGGTGGCGGCGCTGCAGCCCACGGTGTGCGCCGCGTGGTTGCAGGCATGGATGTCGATTCGGTATTCCGTGAAGTGGCGCAGGCCGCTCAGCACCGCTCGCTCACGGGGCACCTTGTCCTCTTGGATCCCGAAATCCGAGCTGTTGCTCCCCAGCTGGAGGGGCCCAGCTGCTCGGCGGTGCCGCCCTGAGTCCCTGGGGAGAGCGAGTCAGAGCCAAGGCCCAGCCCCAGGAGCAACGGCCTTGAGCACCGGCCCCAGCCCTGCTCACCTTTGGGGGCTCTTGTTGATGGACGTCACCTTCCAAGGGGATCTGGGGAGGCCAGATGTAGCCCTATCAGGCCTGTCCGGATGCATCCCTGTGCCCTCTGCAGCGTGCACCGCCTCCAAATCCACCCACGACCTTGGCCCCGCCCACACGAGGGAGGCCCCGCCCACAAGCCCCACCCTTCCCGCAAGGCCCAACCCTAGCAGGCCCCACCCATCAGACCCGCCCAGGCCACGCTCTCCTCGCACTTGGGGATGGTGATCGCATTGTGTAGAAAGTTTTCAAACTTCTTCTGGAACGAGGCCTCTTGTGCTTCCAGCGCGGGCAGAACCTGACCAGGAGGTGGGTGCTGGCAGGGGCAGCAGCCGGACTCCATCTCGGCCTCAGGATCCCCGTCTTCGCGGTCGAAGCGCGGGTCGTTGTTGCTGGTGGGCAGCCGCAAGCCTGGCAACGCGGCGGGAAGACGCCAGTAAGACAGGCGGTCTACCCGCCCCTGATCCCCCACCTGCCACGGCCCTGCGCCTCCATCCCCACTTCCCCACCCGCCCCGCGGCTGGCCTGCGCGTGGTCCCTGCGCACCGCGGTGGCAGTAGTCATTGAGGTAGAGGTCGCTGTCCTCTGCCAGCCGCTGCCACAGCACCAGGTAGTAGGTGAGGTTTCCATTGCGCTGGGTCGGTGGCTTCCAGCGCACCAGGAGGTGGGAGGAGGAGTTGGATGTGGAGATGACGTCTTGGGGCACCGTGGGAGCTAGGAGTGCCAGGAGGATGCAATCAGGGGTTGTGGGTCTTCCTTCTGAATACTATCTAGTAATGAGCCCCTCTCTCTGGGGTCCAAAAGTCCTCTTCTCCCGAAGAATAGGCAATCCTCAACCCCGCCTTCCTAGAACTCAGTGTTTCTGTCCCCCATTATTTGCCATAGGCCCTTCAGTTCGCTCAGCTATTAACCCTGCACTGTCCCAACCCCAGCCCCGAAAGGACCTAGCCAAATGCCCCTTCTTCTTTCTAGGACTCAAGCATCTGGCCTCCCAGCCTCTGCGGGTCAGGTGTTCAGTGTCCTGGCTTCTCTATTTCTGCTGCCCGTGCTCCCCTGTTCTTATGGATGCAGGCATCTGACTCTTGCATCCTCCAAATGCCTACCTGCAGGCAGTGTTCTGAGATAGACGATAGGACTCTGGGCTCCTTGATGGGGGCTGTCCTCAGCAGTGGTCAGTGTAATGGCCCGCACAAACACTGCATACTGTGTCCAGGGCTTGAGGGGGCCTAGGGTCACCCCTGGCTCCTGGGTGCGGCTTAGGGGCAGCTCCACATCCAGCAGGTTCCAGCTCTGGGTTCCACAGGCATCTGGACCCACGTGCTCTGTGGCATTCTGGAATGGGCTGAACACCCATCCCCAGAGCCGAGGGGTTGTTCAACCCCACCCACAAGTTCTGGCACCGCCCCCACAATCACCCCAGGACTGTCATTGTCCTTCCAGTACATATGAGGGCAAAGCCATGACTCCAGCCACCTGTTAGACCTGTGGGGGACCCTGTGATATCTGTGTCATCAGTGAAATTTGTAATGATGTATCTCCTCATCCTTAGCAGGGAATATTGAGCTCTAGTTTCAACGAATATTCAAAAAATCTTGCATTGCATAAATAAAACTAGAAAATGTGTGTGAAAGAGTCCCTTTTCCTAGCAACAGCAAGCAATGAGGTTATTCTAATCCCCCTAAGTATAATTGCCTGGAACCAGGACCAGGAGACTGCTCCCTTCCCAGTGTCTTCACCTAGGCACTTGAATTGACTTTGGAGATTTATGAGCCTCCCGAACTATAGGCAAAGTTTTGTGCATGTGTGTTTTTCTAGAGAGAGGGTTCCGAGCCTTCAGCAGGTTCTCAAACATGTCCATGAGCCTAAAAGGCCAAGACCCACTGCCACAGGGAAATTATCTGGGGCCAGAGGCCACTAGTGCTGGCTGTCTGAAGGCCAGTTTGGGGGCAGGGCTTGGGGAGGCATCACTGGCTTTAGGGGTAGAAGAGGGCTCACTGGGGGAGATGAAAGCAGGGCCCACATGGGCAATAGCATGGGCGACAATGGAAGATCACATCGAAGTTCATGGTATTTGTTTCTTTGGATGAGGAAGTGGGTGGTGGAATTCATGTTGAGCCGGGGACAAAACTTGAGGGAGCTCAAATTGGGTGGCAGTGGAGGACCTTGTGGCCTTGCTGGGAGTGCCTGCCTTTGTTGGGACCTATATGCAGGATAGTCAAGAAGCAGGTTGGGAGTGCAGGGCTCGTAGTGGGTGTCATGGGAGCAGGTGTCCTGTGAGGCATGACACACTGAGCAGGTCTGGGTCTGTTTGGAGTCAGGATTGCGCAGGATTGGCAGTGTGTGTCTCTGAGGGAGCATAGCTGCAGCCATGCTGCAAGGCAGTGATGTTAGGGAAGCTGCTTGAAGGAACCCCAAGGTTCTCTGCCCTTTGAGCCCAGAGATGGCTGTGTATAGCTGTGCAGGTCGCAGACTGAACAAGCTGGGGTCCTGGGGGAGATTCACATTGCAGTCATGCCTGTGCTCCTTAGAGTACAGTCCATGAACCAGCAGCTTCAGCATCTCCTAGGAGCTTATTAGACATGCGGATTCTTGGGCCCTGCTCAGAATTAACTGAATCAGAATCAGTGGGTGAGGCCCAGGAATCTGTATTTAACAAACTCTCGAGCTGCCCATGCTAGAGACCTTCACCTACCACTGAGGCCGAGGAGAGCAACTGACCATTTGAGTGGATTTCCTACCACTGACTTCCTCTCTCTTCCCAAGCCAGACCCTGAGCCAGTGGTCGGCTAAGTCTTCTCCATTTTAATTCACAGGAAATGCTTCCAAGCCAGGTGGCCCCCATCTTCTATAATATCTACCAGAGAGAGGGCATGCTCCTCACTCCTGCCCTCCCAGCCTGCGCCCGAATCCATTTCCCTCCTCTAAGGATGTCTCCTTTTGATTCCCAGCCATGTTTTTGGAGAAGTCCTTCCTGTGGTCTAACCACTATCCCTACTGCTAGGGTCAGTTGACTCTTTCCAAAAAAAAGAGATCAGGAGATCTCTGCTCCCTCCCTTCCTAAGGCTTAAATGAAACGCTGGCAGAGCTGCTCATAAAACTGGCCAAATTAGTGGGCGCTCCCCAAACCGCTGCTTTGGGGGCAGGAGCATGTGGTCAGTGGAGAACATTAGCATAGTGAAATGAAGTTTAATTATCCAAGCCTTGCCAGCAGGATGGCTCTCCTGGGCTCTTAGAAGCCCTGTCTTCTCCATTTCACTTGGTGAGGGGAAACCGAGGCACGGAGGCATGAAGAAGGCGAGGGGAGAGAGCCAGACGTGGGCCCTACCACGGAATACAACTTGGGAGTCCTGTCTTCCCGGGTCTTCGTAGCCTCGCTGAGCTCCTCCCTCAACTACCAGTCTGTGGTCCCGAAGAAATTGGCATCCTCCGGTTCCGGCCCCGCCCCCCGCGCTGGCCCCGCCCCCGCGCCGGCCCCGGCCCCGCCCCCGGCACTCACGACTCCTTGTAGTACACTATGAAGCTGAGCAGGTCGCGGGCCTCCAGTGGCTCGTAGCGCTCCCAGCGTAGTAGGATTCGGTCTGCCTCCGTCACGTTGGACACGAAGCGCAGGGTGCGAGTCTGGCCTGGTGGGGCGAGGGGCCTGCTCTCAACCGCTCCTGCCAGCTGCTTGAGCGCCCACCCCGACCCCGCGGCATCCCATTCCCAGTGAGATCTCTGAAGAGAACTTTTCAGACTGCCCCCCTCGAGCCCCCCTCCCCCCGGGTGCGCGTGTCTAGTGTGTGGCCTCGAGTCCACCGCTCTGGGGTTGGGGTCTCACAGGCGGCGCGGTCTCCGTTGGTGCGGGGGTTGATCTCAGCCTTGTTCTGCCGACCTCGCGTGCCCGTCACCTCCTCCAGTCGGTAGATGTGCTCCAAGCAGAGGCGCGGGTTGAAGGCGAAGTAGATCTTGCCCACGGGGATGGTGAGCCCCGCGGCCACCCAGGACCCTAGCTGCTGTAGGTTCTGGTTGTCCAGCACGTAGAGAGTGTAGTTCCTGGGGGAGGCCAGGGGACCTTGCTCTGCGGGGAGGTGGGGGTAGGGGGTGGGAAGGGGGTGGCTTATGGGTTCCTCCTGGAGGGGTTTTGCTGGGCCCAGGGAGGGGGGCACTCAGTGGCTGGCTCACACCCAGCACACTGGGGGCATTCGTGCACAACCACTCTGTGCCATGACCAGAAGTGTGATGTCTGCCAAGTCACCCCCTCTTTTGGTTTTCCTCATTAGTGAAATGGGGCCTGCAGCTTCCCTGCCCCCATCCCTCGATTCTCTCTTTCTTTTTTGAGAAGGAGTCTCACTCTGTTGCCCAAGCTGGAGTGCAGTGGCACGATCTGGGCTCGCTGCAACCTCTGCCTCCTGGTTCAAGCGATTTTCCTGCCTCAGCCTCCCGAGTAGCTGGGACTACAGGCATGCGCCACCATGCCTGGCTAATTTTTGTATTTTTTAGTAGAAATGGGTTTTCACCAATTGGACAGGCTGGTCTTGAACTCCTGACCTCGTGATCGCCTGCCTCTGCCTCCCAAAGTGATAGGATTACAAGCTTGAGCCACCACATCCGGCTAACCCTTGACTCTCTTTAAACTGAGCACCTGCTATGTTCCAGACTCCGAAGGCTTTGGAAACACAAGGAGGAGTGGTACTCAGCCTGGGCCATTCCTCTCCAGCTGGGGCGTGGACACCCCTGGGCACACGCAATGTGTCTGGAGACATGAGAAGCCACAGGGAGCCACTAGACTGGATGGCAATTTTTTTTTTCTCACTCTGTCACCCAGTGGCACAATTGCGGCCCACTGCCACCTTGACCTCCTGGGCTCAGGTGATCCTCCTGCCTCACCCTCCTGAGTAGTTGAGGACTACAGGCACCTGCCATCATGGTTGGCTAATTTTGTATTTTTTATAGAGACAGGGTTCACCATGTTGCTCAGGCTGGTCTCTAACTCCTGGGCTCAAGTGATCCTCCCACCTTGGCCTGCCAAAGTGCTAGGATTACAGGTGTGAACCACTGCATCTGGCCTGGATGGTTATTTATTTATTTATTTTTTGAGATGTCTGTTGCCCAGGCTGGTGTGCAGTGGCGCAATCTCAGCTCATTGTAACCTCTGTCTCCCAGGTTGAAGCGATTCTCCTGCCTCAGTCTCCTGAGTAGCTGGGACTATAGGTGCCCACCACCACACCAGGCTAATTTTTGTATTTTTAGTAGAGATGGGATTTCTCCATGTTGGCCAGGCTGGTCTCAAACTCCTGACCACATGTGATACTCCTGCCACCGCCTCCCAAAGTGCTGGGATTACAGGCGTGAGCCACCATGCTCAGCCTGGATGGTAATTTAAAACATTCTTTTTATTTTGAAAAATCCTGCCTACATTACAGGTTGGCCTTGACTGGCAGATGATAGGAATGGGTTTTAAACCCAGGCAGTCTTGCTCTGCAGCTGACAGGACCAGATGATAACAATTATAGCCAACCCTTAGAGAGTTACATGTGACTGTAATTTATATTGTGTACACTGTGTTCCAGGCATTGTTTGATGTGCGTTACACATAAAAACTTGAGTAATATTCGAAACAGCCCTACAAAGTAAGTAATGTTATATCAGCCCCATTTTACAGATGAGAAAACTGAAGACCAGAGAATTTAAGTAACCTACTCAGAGTCACATGGCTAGTGAGTAGAACAATTGGTTCCAGAGCCCATTCTCTTCACCACTGTTCTGCGGGCGTTGGAGGAAGGGGTGTAATAGAAGGAGCTGGCCAGAGGCCTGACCCTTACCCATCTACCATGGCGTCTCCTCGGATTAGCTTGAGGTTCTTGAAAAAGCCCAGGGATACGAGGGCAAAGGAGTGCTTGATTTTGAGGAAGCCAGTAATGGTCTCCACCAGCCCCAGGCTGTGCTGCAGCTGCGGCTCCAGGTTGTCTAGGGATGGGGAAGACAGGGCTGGAGCAGGAGCAGAGAAGGTGATGGGTCTGTGGGGCAAGGGGGCTGAATGGGGGGCCCGGGGAGGTAGGCCCTCAGGGCTGGAACCCAGGATGATGGAAAGTGGTGCTTAGTTGAGCCCCTTGTAAGGGTGTGCCTGGGAGGAAGGGTATGGCCAGGAGGAGGCGTGTGACCCCAGAGTAGGTACTGACAGCCCTGGCGAAGGTTGAGGATGAGGCTTCCCTCCACATGCGTGCAGCCCACCAGATCCTGTGCCGCCTGGATGGAGTCGATGGTCTTGGTGCCTACCTTGCACTCTTTAGGGCACAGCCCCTCGCATTTGTGGCAGAATATGCTAGCAGGAGCAAGCGGATGTCCTGAGCCTTGGACCAGCTTGGGCCTCCTCAGGCCTCCTCACTGCTCCCGGGGCGCCCCCCACCCTCTCTACACTCACCTGCTGCTATTACGGGTGAAGCCAGAAGGGCACTGGGCCAGGCAACGGCCCTGGTGTATGCCGAAGGTGGAGGCGCGGCCGGGCACAGAGCGCAGGCTGGCACAGCGCTCAGCTGTGACACAGCGCCAGGACTCATATTGGTAGGTACCTGGAGGGCAGGCCCACAGGCAGGCACCCTGAAAGTAGAGGTGGCGGCAAGCTACACAGGCACGAGGGTCTTCCGGCCGGCTGCAGCCCCCCAGGCATTCGGTGTGGCAGCATTCGCCCCCCGCTGTGCAAGCCAGCCCATGGGGGCAGGGGCACACTGTGGGCAGAGTGGTGTGTTAGACCTTGGCCATGCCCCCTCAGTCCTGGCTGCCCTTCCAATGCTGGCCCCACCCTGTTTCTCTTGGGATGACACTCAATCTGCACCCAGGTCCCTCCCATTCAGGTGACTCTGGCTGCCGACTCTGTTTCCCTCTGATGGGATTCTTAAGGACAAGGCCTGTGGCCCTGTCTGTGGCTCCCCACCTCCCATAGTGCCTAGTCAGGGGTGTCAGAGCTCAGGACAGAGCAGTGACCTTGTCCATCAGGGTTGTTGCTCTCCAGCCTGCTGTCCTGTCTGTGCTGTCTAGGCCTGGCGCCCAGATCATGGCTGGGCATGGTGCCAAGGTGAGCCAGCCAGCCTCTCCTGAGCAGCTAGGCCCAGGGGCCTGGGAGTGTGTGCAGGGAGGGGCCGACATCCGTCGTTTTACCCATGCTCCTGCCTGTGCCGCCTCCCGCTTCAGCTCCCTGACCTGGACAAGAGGTGGCTCCAAGCAGCAGTGGGAGGGTTTGGGGTTGGAGGCCCAATTGCCTAAAAACTGCATAGTGGCAGCTGGCTGGCTGTGGGAACGATCTGCGGGGTGGAGGTCAGCCAGGTCATGTTGACACTGTACATGAGAGGATGCCAGCAGCTGTGTTTACAGCCAACAGGGAGGCATGAGGGAGGTGGGGCGTAGCTCTACAGCGGGGATCTGGTTACTCTCCCACCTGCCCAGCTGCTGAGGGACTGGGGGTGAGAGGAGCTGACCTCCAGGAGCTGAGTGGAAAAGACCCCCAGGCTGGGAGACCCCAGATCTGCTCCCCACCTCTGAAAGGTCTTCCTCGCCTTTTCTATAACTTTTCACTTCCTCTTCCTGCAGCCATCCCTCTGTTTTCTCCTTCCCCCTTTCTCTACTGCCTCTTTCCTCTCCGAGCATCGTCCTAAAGGCCCCACCTCACATCTTTGCTCTCACCTGCTCAGTTCTTCATCGACCGCCTCCTCCCTTCTTCTCCCGCTCACCCCCAACCTCAACCTCCCATTACAGTACTGCCAGGTGACCCTGGATCACTAGGCTGCAGCCACTCTGATTAGGAACAGAGAACTGCTACCATGACCTGGGCACTGCTCTGATGCTTTGTAGAATAACTCATTCCTCATGCCACCCAGTGGTCCTTTTACAGCTCAGGAAACTGGCACAGAGACACTAGGTGAATGCAGCCGGTAAGTAGCAGAGCTGAGACTTGAACCCAGACCCTCTGGCTTTGGATGTAGCCACTGACCCACACTGCTTCTTGTGCTGCCTCCTCTCTGTCTGTGCCTACTCTTTCTCCCCCATGCCTGCATTGAACCTGTCCTTCACCTACCCCATGAGCCGTCTTGAGCCTTCCCCTTGGCTGTGTTATGCCACACTGGTTATTTAACTTTTCTGAGCCTTAGTTTCCTTACCTGCCTCATAGGATGAGTAAGGATTAAAATCAGTGGCAGCTGAAAGTACCGACCCAAAACACCCTGTGGCCACCCAGCCCCAAGTGCCCCTGCTCTTTCTGATCCCTGCAGTCAATATTGTATGCCAGTGCCCACCTCTCTGGCAGTGGCTGGAGGTCCAGCATCTGTAGTCAGTGTGCCCGCTGAAGGTGGTCTTGGCGCAGGGCTGGCCAGCAGCACCCAGCACACCAGGGCACATGTCAGCACACTCCTCGCCCAGCTTGTTGCCCACGATGTGGTTGGCGCCAGGTGCCGGCTGCAGCAGTCCCCAGTCAATGGTGGAGAGGTGGCAGAGCTCCTGGTTCTTCTCCACACGCACAGCCCCACGCAGCACGGCCCCAAGCGCAGGCAGTCCCACATCACGCAGATGCGGCATCTCAAAGATGACCAGTGCGTAGCCCAGGAAGAGGCGCGTCCCGCGAATGACGGCTAGGTTGGGGAAGAGGTCGCGCAGGCTCTCCAGTCCGTAGACACGGAAGAGCAGCAGGTAGTCGGTGACCTGGGTGAGGCGAGGGAAGCTGAGGCCCCGGAAGTCCTCCCCGGTGGCTGTGAACATGAGCAGGATCTGCAGGTGGCCCTCTACCACGCTGCAGTTCTCCAGCCGACGAAGCTCTGCCGCCTCTGAGCGAATGTCCAGGCTGGGGCACACTGTGGGCACACATGGCACGCAGTGGTGAGTACAGCCTAGGCCAAGCTCCCCATCGAGCCCTGGCAGCTTTGGAGGGGAGCATGCTGGCAGTTGGACAATGAGTGAGGAGCCAGGCTCTTCTCTGGGTGTGGGTGGCCTCCGCCCTGGGCCCTGGAGGGCTCACCTGCAGCCTGCGGGGTCTCTACCAGATGAGCCACACAGGCAGAAATGAACTCCTGACTTTCTCTCCCAAGCCCATTTCCCCTTCCTTGTTAATAGCAAAGTTCCTGTAGTCAGGGTCCCAACCTAAAGTCATCCTTAATGCCTTTCTTTTTTACCTTCTGCATCCTGTGCGTTTATCTTTAAAATGTATCCAGAAATGGCGGGGCGTGGTGGCCCACCCCTGTAATCCCAGCACTTTTGGAGGTCAAGGTGGTCAGATCATAAGGTCAGAAGCTAGAGACTAGCCTGGTCAACATGGTAAAACCCTGTCTCTACTAACAATACAAAAATTAGCTGGGTGTGGTGGTGCGTGCCTGTAGTCCCAGCTACTCAGGTGGCTGAGGCAGGAGAATCACTTGAACCTGGGAGGTGGAGGTTGCAGTGAGCTGAGATCACGCCATTGCACTCCAGCCTGGGTGAGAGAGTGAGACTCTGTCTTCCATCTCAAAAAATAAAAATAAATACACACACACACACACACACACACACACACACACACAGAATCTGAACTGCTTGTCAACACCGTCACAGCTTCCACCATCATCTTCCCCTGGATTTACAGTAATAGCCTCCCAGACTGTCTCCCCAATGCCACCTTTGTCCTATGGGCCATTCTCTGCGCTGCAGCCAGAGTGATCTCAAAACACAGATGGATCACGCTTCTCCTCTGCTTACGACCCCGTGACTTCCATCTCTCTTGATCTTACCAGAGCCTACAGGGCCCTGTATGATTTCAGCCCCTGTAACCTCTCTGACTTCATCCTCTTTATCTTCTTCAGCCTCATTGACTTCTTCGCTATCCTTTAAACAAGCCAGCAAAGCTCCCGCCTTGGGGTCTTTGTCCTGATCCTTCTGGCCAGAACCCTCCTCCCTCTACATGGCTTGCTCACCTCTTTAAGTCTGGCCTAATGTTCCTTTCTCAATGAGGCCTTCTCTCACCATCCAACTTTATTAATTTAATGTATTTATTTGTTGTTTGTCTGTTTGTTTGAGGTGGAGTCTCACTCTGTTGCCCAGGTTGGAGTGCAGTGGCACAATCGCAGCTCACTGCAGCCTCCGTCTCCCAGGTTCAAGCTATTCTCCTGCTTCAGCCTCCAGAGTAGCTGGGATTACAGGTGCCCACCACCACACCTGGCTATTTTTTGCATTTTTAGTAGAGATGAGGTTTTACCATGTTTTTGCAGTTTTAGTAGAGACGAGAGCCGGGTGGCCTTGAACTCCTGACCTCAAAGGATCCGCCCACCTCGGCCTCCCAAAGTTCTGGGATTACAGGCATGAGCCACCATGCCCGGCTTGACCATCCTGTTTAAAATGGACTTTTTATGCCTGTAATCCCAGCACTGTGGGAGGCTGAGGAGGGAAGATTGCTTGAGCCCAGGAGTTCGAGACCAGCTTGGCCAACATGGTGAAACCCCCTCTCTACAAAAATTAGCCAGGTGTGGTGGTACATGTCTATAGTCTCAGGTACTCAGGAGGTTAAGGTGGGAGGATCACTTGAGCCCAGGAGGTCAAGGCTGCAGTGAGCCGTGATCACACCACTGCACTCCAGCCTGGGCGACAGAGTGAGACTCAGTGTCTAAAATAATAATAATAAACTAAATAAAATAAAATTGTGGTACTCTCTACTCCCCCTTCTGCTTTATTTTCCTCTATAATTCTTAACACTGACTAGTGTATTGTGTGTGTGTGTGTGTGTGTGTGTGTGTGTGTGTGTGTGTGTAACTGTTGCCCAGGCTAGAGTGCAGTGGCAGGATCATAGTTCGCTGTGTCCTTTAACTCCTGGCCTCCTCAAGTAATCCCTCTGCCTCAGCCTCCCAAAGTGCTGGGATTACAGGTATCAGCCCATGCCTGACCATATATTTATTTTTAACACTGGCTAAAATATAATTTATATTAATATAAATATGTATTTATTTATATAAACATATTTATTTTGTTTATTATAAGCTCCATAAGGGCAGGGATATTTGTATAATTCATGTTGTATCCTAGTGGCTGGTATAGTGCCTGGCACAAAATTGGCACTCAATAAACATTTGACGAATGAATGAATGAGAGCAGTGGTCTGAGCTTCATAGATCCCATGTCTCTCTCAGTCCTGAGGGAGTTAGATGCCTGTTCCCTGAATTTGATTACTCATGAAGGAACGTTCCAGGGCTCCCCATTGCTAAAGAATCAAGTTTCAGTTCCTCAGCCTGACATCGCAGGGTGTAGATGAACCATTCCTTACTTATGCCTCCAGGCTCAGAAGGGTCCTTTAGGCCTTGTCCTGCAAATCTTGGGTCAGACCTTCCTTCCCTGACCCTCTGGCCCGGAGTTAGTCACTTCCCCTTCAGGCTCAGCTACGCTTAGTCCAGCAGCCACACCAGATTACCTGAGGGCATTGCTCCAAAATTGTATACATCTCTGCCATCCCCTCCAAAGAGGGTGGGACCCTTGTCAGTCAGCTCTGCATTCCCCCAGTTGTGCCCAGTCCAGGGCTGGAACCACTGGGAACTCGGGAACCGTGGACAGTGGATGTCTGGATCCCAAGTCTGCTCCTTCCTGGGGGACCTGGGTGTGTCTGGCTTCGTCACCAGGGCCCAAGCCCCATTCCCTTTTTCGCCCCAGCCCCCTATGGGGGCTGGATGCCCGGGCTCACTTGCTCCCAAGAAGACCTTCTATGACTCCCCACTGCAGAAGATTCAAGTCTGAATGTTTCAGCCTGACATTCAGCTCCTGCTAACATCTCCAGCCTCTACTTCCCTTCCCGCCCAGTCCTCTGGGTTATCACAAACACCACAGGGCACGAGGCCCCATTCCTGATAGTTTGTTAAGAGAGGTGGGTAGGCCAGGCTGGCTCCCTGGGGGTGACTTCACATCTTCTCCCTGTTGTCATTAATGGTCCTGAGCTTGGCTCTGCCCAGCAGCTCTGTGTGTGTGTGTGTGTGTGTGTGTGTGTGTGTGACTGAGCCCACGCAGGTACACACACACAAAATAGAAGGAGAGAGAATGAGAAAACACTTCTATCCCTTCCAGGCGAAAGCCAATCAGGCTCTGCGAGGCAGATGGGGGTTCTCTCAGGCGCCCACTTCCCATCATGCCCCTGCCTCTCCAGGGCTCCCCTGATGGGAGTCATTTGGAAAAACAAATCTAAAACCTTCACAGATTAACCCCTGCCTTCCCTCAGGACCTGGCTCTGTGCAGAGCTGCACTGGGAATGGAACATCTGGGTCCCCTGAACAAATACTAACCCCTCCAAGGACGTGCTCTTGTCCTGACAACCACACTCCCAGCTGGCATCTGCTGTGCGGGAGAGGGGGGGTTCAGTGGCTGGGGGAGTGGTGCTGTGCCTTACAGATAGAGGCTCAGTGACTAGCACCCTTCAGGGGACCTCCTACCCAGCCCATTGCATCACTCTGCCGTCTCCATAGGAAGGGGAGACTCCCCTACCCCTGGAAGCCCCCAGTCTGAGGGGCATCACAGGACCCCTCGGGCAGGCGCTGAGCACTGGATTCCTGAGCTGGTTCAGTCTGGAGGGGAATGGTGGGACTGGGGAAGGGATACCCCTTAATCCTTCCCTTTTTGAAGCTTCCACCCTCAGCTCTTTTTCATCTTTCCATCAGGTCCCCGGCACCTCCATGAGGGTCATTTAGTCTATGTAGTTCCCCCCACCCCCCCCCCCTCATACTCTCCATCTCTCTTTTTTTTTTCTTTCTTTTTTTTTTTTTTTTGAGGTGGAGTCTTGCCCTGTTGCCCAGGCTGGAGCGCAGTGGCGTGATTTCGGCTCACTGCAACCTCCCCCCTACCAGGTTCAAGCAATTCTCTGCCTCAGCCTCCTGAGTAGCTGGGAGTACAGGTGCCTGCCACCACACCCAGCTATTTTTTTTTTGTTTTTAAGTAGAGATGGGGTTTCACTGTCTTGGCCAGGCTGTCTTGAATTCCTGACGACGTGATCCACCCGCCTCAGCCTCCCAAAGTGCTGGGGTTACAGACATGAGCCACTGCACCTGGCCTCACACCCATACTCTCTAAAACCTATTCATGGGCAGTGTCTAGCCTGGGGGATAGGCCCTGGGAAAAGCAGTTGAGGAAAAGCAGTCTTCCTCCAGAACCAGCCTTCCTCCCCATAGTGATTGGACCCTAAGGAGGGGGGGACACACAGGACAACAGGACGGCGCCCTGGAGGCCGGCACTCAGGACACAGTCTAGCTTCACCCTTAGTCCTCTGAGCGCAGTCTCCTGTCTGCAGCATTGCCTCCATTACTTCATGGTGCCTGGTTCTCAGCTCCCTGTCCCACCCCGCCTCTTCCCATTCCATGGCCCCAGAGATGACTTCTAACACTCACAGCCTTATTTTGGTTTTCAGGCAAGCTTTACTGGGATTGCAGTTTCACTAGTAGGGATGGAAGATATCTATTCATTCCCGTTTTGAAGCCCTTCTGCCCTCTGAGGGAGCTGAGGGAAAAACACCTTTATGCGGGGAACTCACTGCTTCTCCTGCTGGGCAGTTCTCCTGAGAGCTAACCGCAGCCTCCACGGTCCAGTGCAGAGTAAGCGGATGTGCTGTGGCTGGAAGCCCAGTTGTCTGGCTTCCCAGCTGGCCGGGAGAGAGGTAGGGGTCTGGGAGCCAGCTCTGGGGACTCACCCTCTAGTGTATCCAGGCCAAGTCCCAAGGAGAGGACGATCACAGGCAGACATGCTCCCCAGGGCCACAGACCGGGCACTGCCATTGTCCCAGTCCTGGCTTGTGTCCAGTCCCGGCTCTTCTCCCGGTGGCTCTGGGGAGAAGGGTTTGACAAGCCCTAAGGGACACAGAGACCAGGGTTCAGATAGGAGTTGGAGGGGGCAGGGGCAGAGGCAAAGAATTCCATGCAGCAGGAGACAGAAAACAAGAAATGAGAGTCACAGAGACACAAAGATAGTGACAGGCAGGTGGAGACAGAGAGGCTCAGCATGAGACAGAGATGGGGACAGAGATGCAGACAGTGATGGGCAGAGTCTCGGACCTTCAGAGGCAGAAAATGACACAGGGTTCTGAGCAAAAGGCAGGCCAAGAGGTCGGCCAACCCTGAGGGTGGAGCAGAAGGCTGGGGACGCTCCCAAGGAGGGCAGCATGGGACTCCACAGGGAGTCTCCCTGGATCCTTCTGGGCGCAAGGCCCCCAGTGCTGGCTGACCGCTCTGGCTGCGGTCTCTCCCAGGGCGGGCACGCAGCGGCCGCGCCCAGCCCGCGCCCAACCCCCCCCCCCCCCCCCCCCCCCCCCCCGCCGAAACAGATTGGTTCACAAGGATCTCTCAGTTCACTCCGCCCCTCCCGCCGAGCCAAAATATTTAGCCTGACAACTGAGGGGAGAAGAGATCTGTTGGGGAAATAAGGCCAAAATACAGAGGGAGGGTGGGTCAAGAACTGAGCGTCCCCAAAATCCGCTGCGGCTGCGACGGGTTCCCCCAACCCCTTGCGCCCACCGCAGGCTTCTTCCAAGTGGGCTGCACAGCCGGAGCGTCAGCCAACTCCCGGGCTTCTGGGGAGCCCTGTGTCTAGATTCTGCTCCCTGGCGCCTTGACATCTGCGGGGTGGCTTCTGACAGCCTTGACCCTGGAGAACCTGGACAGCCCGTGGCTTCTTGGAGCCTCTCTCAGCCTCCGAGGAGGCCGCCCTGTCCTCTTTGGAGACCCCTTAGTGCCAGGCTCCCTCACCGACTAGTCCCTTGGTTCTGACCAAGATCTCAATGAAGAGGGCGATCACTGTGCGGGGCTCTGCCTTCGTCTAGTCACTTTCTTGAGCTCAGGCTTCTCGGTCTGTCTGTGTGTCCCTGTATCGGGAACTTGGGGGGCCGTCCGTGCTGGGGCCTTGGCAGAGAGGAGAACCGTGACCCTCTAGGAGGCTGTCCTTCGCTTGCTCCCTGGGGCCTTACCTATCCCCCCCGCCAAGAGAGATCCCTCTCCCCCTCGCTCTCGCCAGCTCGAGACGGATGGGCTCGTGCAGCCACAGAGGCTGGCGAGGTGGGAGGGGTTGGGACCAGCCTTCTGCTGCCCTGGGTGCTGGAGATCCCGGGGCTTTCCAGGTGCGCGGCCTCCAGGGGCCGACGGGTCCTCAGCTCCACAAGCGGGCGGCTCCTGCGTCCGAGGAGCTAAGAGACCTATTAATTTCTTCACGAATAAATCGATGCTCTTGTCAGGGAGGCGATCCATGTTAGCCCTGTCCTGCCCCGGGGCCAGCGCTGACTGGCCGGGGTCAGGGACTGAAGCTGGGACCCAAAGCGTTGCGCAGTGGGGGGCTGCAGATCGCGCCCCCAGCCACCCGGCCCAGGCGGGGAGCTTGCGCCTTTGCGCGCGGGCTTCTCGCGCCACCCTGTGGCCTCTCTTGGAGGCGCGGTCTTGGCTCTCTCGACTCCCTCGGGCCGAATTAGGTGACCCCTTCCCTTTCTCTGGCCGGTCTGTGTCTTCCTCCCAGGTTCTGCAATTGATCCTTTTATAATCCTTTTCCTTTTCGTCCTAGAGTTCGGAGTGTTCTACCTAACTTACTCCAGGTGACATGCGCTCTCCCCCCGGCACTTGCGCCGTGAGGATGGAGCGCCGAGGCTGGGGCTGGCTAGGATGACCTGGACGGCAACCTTCACTAACTCAGTCATCTCCCCGCCTCTCCAAATGTAAAAATGCAGCTGCTTTAAGCTGGGAGAAATAACGTATCAATTTCCCACTCCCAGCCTCAGCAGACACCTCCCAGGCGTTCTGCAGCAGCCCCTCCGCATCTCCCGGAGCTGGGGGCATCCTCGGGGAGAAGGTTGACGCTGGGGGCCCCTAACAGGGGAGGGGACGGAGTTGGGGGCGTCAGAGGGGAGGAAAGGGGGTGGAGACAAGGGGCGGGGCGGGGACGGGCGAGGGCCTCTGGCTCCGCCCTTTCCTGGCGGCTGGGTATTTTAACACCGCCCGGCGCACATGTCGGGGGAGGCCCGGCAGCTGCAGCTGCGAGCGCACAGACGGCAGCCCGGCCAGAGTGAGGCGGGCGCCGCCGCGATGCTGCGAGGTGGACGGCGCGGGCAGCTTGGCTGGCACAGCTGGGCTGCGGGGCCGGGCAGCCTGCTGGCTTGGCTGATGCTGGCATCTGCAGGCGCCGCACCCTGCCCCGATGCCTGCTGCCCCCACGGTCCCTCGGGACTGCGATGCACCCGGGATGGTGCCCTGGATAGCCTCCACCACCTGCCCGGCGCAGAGAACCTGACTGAGCTGTGAGTGTTCGGCGGGCTCGGGGGCTCGGGGACAGGCAGGCATTGCTGTGCCCCGAGGGCGCTAACTCGCCGCTTGTTTGCTGGGTCAGGCAAGGCGTCACGGTGGAGGGCTGGCACCACGCAGCCTTCGGCGGTGCCCTGGCGTTCCTCCGCAGCCGCCGCTGCCCTAGCAAGCTTTATGGTGACAGCCTGGATGTTTCCTAGTGTTCAGCGCAGCTGGGCAGCCGGCTTTAGGGAGATCGAGTGGGGAATCACCGTGGACCAGGTCTGAAAGAGCCCAGCCGTCTAACAGCCACTTTCTGGAGCTCAGCCAGGAGACCCTGCCCTGTCCCACTAGAGAAGGGTGGTGCGGAGAAGTCCCCAGTTTGTCACCCTTACTGCCAGCCCCCACCCACTTCCTTGTTATGATGAGGCAACCTCAGGTTTTCTCCTGGAATTGGGGATTGAGCTGGCATTGGTGGGAGGTGGTGAGGAGCGTAGCTGGGTGGTTGAGCTCTCCTCTTTGCGTTTTTACCATTCCTTGTCCCAGGACCCCTTGATTTGGATCTGGGAAATGGGACCCCTTCCTGGATTTTCTCTCCCCACTCCCATCTCCCTCTCCAACCTCGACTCTCTACCTGGGGTGGGAAGTCAGTGTCCTTGCTGAGAGACCCTCCTCCCTCTGGGGCACGAAACTGGGAGGAAGCTTCAGCATTCTGCAGGATTCTGACATTCTGCAGGAACTGGTTACAAAATACTCAAGTACTTTTTAGCAGCTGGTGAAACCTATGGGAGCATGCAATAATGATTGGCCTGGAGGTATGCAGGCATCACATGGTGATGACTGGAAAATACTTGAGTATTACATATGGCCATTGTGGCCAGAGAGACATCTAGAAGAGGGGAGGAACTGCTAGAAAATTCTCCTTCTGTGGCCTGGGGTTTAAAATGTGGACAAGGAACCCTAGCCTCGTGCAGTGATGGACTGGAAGGTATCCGAGGTGGAGCCCATCACTGCCTGGAAGTTTCTTGAGCAGCTTGCAATAATTGGCACTGAGTTACTCGGGTTATCTCATGGTAATTAACGGGAAGGTACTCAATTTCTCTAATGGCTCTAGGGAGACCAGGAGTAGAGGAGATGGCCTGGTCTCGGTCTGGCTGAGGTCTCTGCATGATGGGAGGGGGCATGAGATACGGTCTGCCAGTCCTAGTCCAGTTCTCTCATCACTCTGGGCCTTCAGACTGGGGTCCAGACTCCTGAGTGCTCCCCATCAGGGCTCACATTTCCCAACTCCTTCCAAACCCCAAGTGGATCTGGCAGGGTAGGGATGGGAGTGGTAGGGGGAGTGGACAGGTCAGGGCTGGGGACTAGGTGGCGTGCAGTCCGCAGGCATGAGCTGAGATGTCCCCCTGGGTGGGGCTGCAGCCTGATACCCCCTCCCCACTGCCTCCACAGTCCCCTCCCTCCTCCCTCGCCCGCAGAGCTAACGAGCAGATAATGGACTCGAATAGACAGATTGATTATGAATCCAAACGAATGAGGCAGCTTTGAGGCAGCTTTGAGCACGCTGGCCTGACAGCTCGAACACACCCTGCCAGCCCACTGCATTCTCACTCCCTCCCGGGGTCCCTCCAGCTTGAAACCCTCTGGGCAGGTGCTGGGGGTGACTCCCTCGGAGTCAGTGGAGGTTACTTTCTAGGCCTCCACTAAGTCCACAGGGAGACTTAGGACCTGATCCTGCTGTCCTGCTGGGGCCAAGGCTGGGAAGGGAGGAAAGGAGGAAGGGAGGGTCACTCAGGCTGGTCCTGGTTCCTGCAAGTTAGGGAAAGTGAGAGGGTAGAGGGAGAGAGTTCTGAGAACTGGCAGTGAGTCAGGGGCCCCTGACATGTGTATTGTTGGGGTGGGGGGGCACACTAACATGCCACTGCAGGGCAGCCGAGTTCTCAGGAACTCCCTGGTACGTCAGATCCAGCAGCTAGGCAGGGCCCAGGGCGTCAGCTGTCCCCCAGCTCCAAATGCCTGCTCCTGCCTCTTTCTTTCTTGTCTCCCTGTCTTGCTGTCGGTGCCTCTCTGTCCTTATCTCTCTGTCTCTCTGTCTCCCTTCCCTCATCTGTCTTCTTTCTTGCCTGCCGCTATCTCTCTGACAGTCTCTTCCTGTCAGTTTCCCTTTCAGTGTCTCTGTTTCACTCTCTCTTTGTTTTTCTGCCCTTCTGCCCCCACCCTCCTCGCTGAGCCTCTCCATCTTTCTCTCTCTCTCTTGCTGTGGGAGTCAGCCAGTCTGTGCCTCTTCTCCCCACCCCAACACTGACTGCGTCCTCTCATTGTCCCTCTCCTCTTCCTGGGTCCCTCCTCGGGGTCCCTGATGGATAGCCTCTAAGCCTCTTGCTTGATCTGCTGAAAAGATGGTGGGGGAGGTTTGGGTGGAGTGGGGGTTGCTGCTCAGGTGTGGAGAGGGGTCAGAGGCTATGGGGGTGCAGAGATGCTGGTGTGTGTGTGTGTGTGTGTGTGTGTGTGTGTGTGTGTGTGTAGCAGTACAGGTAAGCCCGGGCATGTTTGGGAACACACATTTGCATAAGCAAATGTGGCAGGGATGAGCCTCAGCCCTTTGTGGAAGCAAGTGTTTCAGCATGACCTCCCATTGGTGAGCGTGTGCCAGGGACGCCTGATGTAAAAGCAGAACACCGACCTGAGAATGGACTTGTGTGTGTGCGCGTGGGAGATGTATGCCAGCTTTGTTTCTGTGTGTCCCTGTGTGAGTGCGTTCCCGCAGCACACGTGCATGTGTGCATGTGCATGAGCGTCATCTGTGCAGATGCTTATGCCTCTGTGTGTGCGCATGTGCACACCTGGCTGGGTGGGTGCGTGTGTGCAAGAGGTATGTGAGAGTGCATATATGTGAGGGTGTGGGGAATCCATGCATGTGTGTGTGCGTGTGTGTTCATGGACACACA